TGGAGTATGTTTTATAAATATAATTGCGTCTTTGATTAAAATACCCTGATGTATAACATTCTTTGATATTACTTATGCTAAACATTAATCTTTATAAGCCTAACATTGACAAAATTCTATTTCTGCTGATTCCGGACCCTATTGTCAAAAGTTATTTTGCTTTATGGCATATGAAGCTTCTTTTACAATAAAGGGAACAGTAAAGGGGAGGGGAAAACCACGACTCATCACTGTATTAGAATATCAGTGCTCCACACTACTGCTTATTGTTGTTAATCTATAATTACAGCAGTTTTCTCCCAGATAGTAAAAAGCCTCACCTCTTCCAAATCAAGCATCTGCTCTGGAGAGTGTCTGAAGAGGATGAGTTTTATAGCCATAGATATAGCATCTTTCTCTCTCAGAAGGGTCACATTGCAAACAGAGCTGCTAAGTTTACTGCCCCTCATGAAATAAGCTGTAGGATGCTCAAGTGAAGGAATATCATAGTCTTAGTATTTAGTTCTCCATTTGGAATACTCAAGTCCAAAGTGCTTTAACTAGTCCCCTTGTATCGATCGCTCGTCCGACACAGCTGACAGACTCCATCGTCCTAAGCATCCTGCAAAGGACACACAGACCTTTATGGCACAGAAGCCTGCCCAGATACCACAGAAGCAACACACTGTTATTGAACAGTTTTTGTAGATTTAATACCTTTCCTGAAGAAGCATACTTAGCTGTCTGAGGATTATAAGTGAACTACTTAGATTTTCACTATCGAAAGTTAAAACTAAAGACCCTAGAAAGAAACTGAGAAGGAACTAAGGTGGCATAAAGTATTTGGAAAGAGAACTTAATGCCAAATAAATAATTTTAAGGTGGAATATATTTCAACTGTGACTGTTCGAAATGATGGCTTACCTCCAATGTCAAAGCACGCAGCTGATAGAAAGAGCTGTTTTAACCCTTGTTCACTGAGCATTAGTAAAGAGTTTTAAGCATCTCTAATAGAAACCTAAGTAAATTCCACAAATATTAGCAGGTTCTCATACATTTTGATCATCTTACTCTCCTTTCTCCAGAAAAACTAACCTTTACAAGACAAGAATGAACTTCAGACTTCAGTGTGTCCATATGCTTGATTTTAGCTTTTCATTACTGTAATAAAATAAAAATAGACAATAGATCAAACAAAAAAAGCGCCAATGAGTAAGGGAAGGAAGGGCATGGGGGAAGGCACAAAATAGCCATTATAAAAAAAAATTGGGTTTAGTACAAGCAATAGGCTTATAGGCTGGTTCTATCGCAGGCTGTAATGGCAAGTTCAGCAACACATTAAAATTGGCTGTGAAGCCGTATGGGCACCAGACAGCTATCCCCACAACTCAACACATACTCTTGTTTAGGAAATTAAAAACTATAGCTCACTTGAAAGAACGATCACCTATCGGATCTTTCACAGGAAGAGAAGAAAACTGAAATCACAACACTACATGCTACCAGCAGATTAAGCTGAAAAAAATAAAATAAAAAAATACATATGCAGTATTTTTCACATTGAAATATTTCTTCAAAACTCCATAATAAATATACCATGTTACTGGGGCAGGGGGCGGTGTGGAGAAGAGAGCAACAAAATTATTTTTATGTTAGAATTCAAACAAAGTGGCTCTACTAATCACTGGTACACTGACAGGGAAGGAAAACCAAGCAACCTCCTTCCCCACAGAGTCTAGATTTCAGTTCTGCAAATTCCATGAGAGATCTTCTCCTTAATGGATTTCAAGATAAGTAGTATTCCGTACCAGGCAAATTTTTTTAAAAGAGAGTAACACTTTAAAAAACATTTTAAGTCCAGGTTTCTTCTGCAGTGTGTTTGCTGTTGGGCTAGAAACTGAATTGAGCCTGACATGGGATGAGACTACACCAGGACAGAAACACATAAAAGAGCTTCTAGAATAAGCATAAGAAAATTAGATACACTTACAAGGAAATAGGACACACTTAGTAATTGAGGCTTTGAGCTTTGAACACACTTTTGATGATGCAAAACAATTCCAAGTTAGGCATAAACACCAGGATATAACTGAACTGAGCCTGCTTCATACTTCAGTACAACCAAACTTGAGTGGTCTACAATAAAATTTAAGTATCAGATCTTAAACATCAAAAGTAACATCATAAAGAATATATTCTAGTGTCATAACTGCAACAATTTTCTTTGTGTTTATGATTTTGAGCACTAGAATTCCACAACATGCAACAGTACATACACAAACTGAAAATAACTAAGAGAGGTTATCAGACTGCTTTTCAATAGTACAGATTTGGGGTGAGAGAATTCTTAATATGTTTTCTATATCATGTTTTAATTTCAGTAAACGAATCAAAGTGCATACTGATGCTAGATAAGGCAGAGTAAAAAGAAAAAATCTTAATGGGAATCCTGTATGTTTTAATAATTTTTTTAGCAAGATTCTAAATATAAGTGTATTTTTTTTTTTTAGAAGCTTCAGGTTTAGCATTCTATTTTAATGCAATTATGCTTCATTGTCCCACATAATGTATAATTACTTTCAGTTACTTAAGGTGGAATTATTCTACTGATGTTTAAGGAAATAGAGTTGTCAAAACAACTCTTAACTATAAAATAAATAATATATATTTTTAAACTACTAATTAAATTTCAGTAACTTTAAGAAACAGCAGTAGTTCAACTAGTGATTTATAACCACAGAAGATATATCTTGAACAACAGGAAATTTTTTTCCAAGTCACTGGCAAGAGCTAGGCATGACAAAAACTACAGTGAGGAATAATCTCTGGATTTATTTAACTTGTGTTTCAGAAGGCATCTAACAGTGCCTGTCACTCAGGAAGATCCACCCATGCAATTGTTCACACATGTAGAATTGTCAGCTCTTTGACTGTCGTGGCAATGCTCAAAGCAGCAGTGCATCAATAACGATTCAAAACCTGTTGCTGTTTTCAGTCATGACATAAATTTCCCAGCATTGCACTGCTTTGGTGAAGTTTTACTGCAATATATACCATTACTAGTACTGTTTCCAATGACAGAAGTGAATTTAAAAAAAAAGTTACAGAACTCAAACATGTAAAGAGGGTTTGAATATGCTATAAATATTTCTTTTTCAGAAGATGCTACCATCTTCCAAAACCAAGTTTCATTTAAAAAAAGCAAGTGTGAAAGAAAGACCTTTAGAAAACCAGCTCCACTGCCCTAACAGTAAAACACCCTTGGCTTCAGTTTGATCAAAGTGAGCTCCTGCTTGGTCCTGAAAACAGAAGCAAAGGCTTTAATTACAAAGGCTGAATCCCATCACGCAGAGGTGAGCACTGCATTTAAGCTTCTGGAAGAAGGAAATAATTGAACAACTCTGGATTTTCAATTTCACAGTACTAAATTAAGATATTATAAATAGATTACATTAAATTACACACTTACAGAAAGGCCCTTTTCCAACACTCGCTGCATTGATCAGATGCATCCAATGATAAATCCCCGTAACAGTAATCACCTACATTAACTAACACTTCTCACCTTTGCAGATTCATTGTTCTTGTTCCTGCCATGAACATTATCAAATATCACACAGTATAATTACCTTACTTAAGATAAAAGCCTCTTCGATTCCAAGGCAAAGAGGAAAAAATTAAAGAGAGGTAATATTTCAAAATATTTGATCGTTACTGGTTTAAAGTAATAACTGTATAAGAATATACTTTTCCCCTCCTTTGGTAATTACTGTGTATTAAGATTTCCACAAGGTGGTGCTGTAGTCCTAGCTTAGAAAAATGTTACCTCTTTTCTGTCCAATTGGTCAAACGTTTAGAAGAAAAATTTCATTTATTTTCACTGTTAGGGTAATGAAGAGTGATTTGCAAGGTCTATTTTCAAGTAAGGAGCAAAATATGTGCACATCATTGAACTTTCCAATTTTTTTTTTATTATTTTATTTTTTTTTAAACAACTGGAAAAGTAAGTTCTATTGCAAAAGTCCAAAACCCCTCAACTAAAGTTTATGTAACATAATGGATCACCGTACATTCCTCTGTTTGTATGTAAAATAAAGTCAATTTATATAACATATGGTTATAGAAAAAAAATCATATTATTGTTTAAGCATACAAATCACTTTTTACAGCATAATGTCAAACAGCTGCTTTTACCTTCATTTGCAAACCGCCAAAAAAATCCACTGGTTTTGTGATACCAAACTCCAAAAGTCTTTTTAAGTGAAGCGAGTATTATAGCACATGATAGGCTACCAATTTACAAAGAGTAATAAATAAATTAAACTTACCAAACCTCACACATCTTTCGTTTGATTGTATAACGTTTATGGAAGTCTTACATCTACTTACATCTCTAAAGAGAAATTTTAATTCAGCTTCAAATCATAAAAACGTTGTGTATCTTTGTATACTGGATGGTCTCCATCTGTGCTGCTGGTCTTAAAATGTGTTCGGCAAGAGCACTAAAACACTCAACACATCTCTTGCAGTCAAAGTCTGTGGACTCACTTGCACATTTTAGTGTTTAGGATCAAACTGACCCTCACTTTGTCAGTGTTAATGGAAGCCATAACGTGTTGGTGCTCTCCAGCTCAGCATGAAAATTTATATTTAAAAAAACAGCAAAAAGAGTACAGATTTTAAATTGTGTATTTAAGTTTTCAATAAGACTCATTCAGCAGTACAGATGGTAAGATGGTATGTAAGAAACCCTCTTGGGTGTAATACGCAAGTCCCAGCTGGAATATTTCCAACAGGATGTAAACCACGGTCCTCAAGCCTGCACTTTAAAAAACATATTACTTAGCACACTGCTAACAAATGTCAACACAAAAATACACTGCTGTAATGACTTCACTTTACAAGGGGCAGGGGGAGGGGTGGGATGACCTGGATGAAGCTATTTGAACAATTTTTAAATCCAGAAACTGGGGCTGGAGGGAAGGAAATCAATACACAGATGCACTAGGAAAATATTTATTCAAAGGAATAAAAGTATTGGTGGTCATTACAAATTTGAGATATTAAAAATTTAATGCTGTACAAACATACATATTAGTTCTGATATCCATAAGTCTACAGAGACCAGGTCTGAAGACCCGTGCTTTCAGGTCTTCGCAGAGGTGTTGCTCGATGTTTTCAACAATTCTGAGGTTTTTTCAATTCTGGAAATAAATTTTGTTTACACACACACTCATTAAAATACAGTAAGAAATAACTGACTTGCCTTTAACTTTCTAAAGAATCAAAATTACTAACAAGCAGCATGAAGCCTTAAGTTTCCTCTCATCCCCCCTTTTCCTCTGCAATTGGCTTGTATTTTAAATGTCTACCCACATATCAATAAACCTTCAGTATACATAACAAAAGACATAACCCACGCAATAAAATTAAATCACAAAAAAGGCTACAGCTTTTCTCAGGCTAGGCACTTATAGAATAGAAGTCTCTTGCTAAAGAAACATTATACAGCAATGCATTTCTCTTCAAGTGTAATAAAAATATTTCTTACAAAAACGTTTTCATTACAGATCTCAGGACTAGTATCAAATACACCTTAATACGATTAACACTATGCTTTGGCCGAAATTGGTTTTACTTTTCCTTAAATAAAAAAAACAGAGTTAAGATACTGTAGTTATTTTTCATGAAGAAAAGTTACAAGTACCAGGGAATTCCTATCAGGAGATAAATAATATTCCTATTCCTTGTCAACCAGATTCTAAACACTCTTTAATCTCTAGTTAATACTATTAAGGATGCTTTCTACTGCTTTTTAGAAACCAAAACATTGACTCATCCCACAAATACAGACCTGTAAAGTGGATTTATTATCCAGTAGAGTCATAAGGAAATGCCACACCTGATGTAGAGACCTTTGAGGTTTGGAACACATATGTATGTTCTCTATATGCCTTAGACCAGTACAACTCCCTCCTGGGAAATGAATTCCTGATGCCCTTTCCTATTACTTACATTTTACTTATCCTTTCCATTCTTTGTCTTGTTGTCTCCTGCAATTTAAAAGCAACAGTTAGTGAACTCTTCAAAGCAAACATTCTTCAGATGGATTTTCAGCCTAAAAATTCATAGAGAAAATGTGACTTTAAGCACTGTTTACATATCAAAAGTATTTTTATGAGACAGACCTAGATGTAGTTTTGCATGGTTTCCTTGTTTTTCAGTAGTAGTATATACAACTAATACTAGCGCTTACTTCTCCTCTTGACCTCAGAGAGGAAATTAACTAAGCATTTGCCAGTTCTGCTTACCTTTGAAATGTCTGTCAGATCATGAGAATTAATGGTCACGGCTTTGGGAGATGGATCTGTGGATAATAGCGAACTGTATGTGGACGACTGATGAAGACTCACTGGCATCTCCTCCTTCCTCTCCATATCTATGGAGAAATACTCAGGGGTTTGCATCACCTTTGCTTTTTTGCTCTTTTATTGCAAGGTCAGCTATCAAATAGCTTGATTTACAGTATGTAATAACAGAAGAGAATGCATTGTTTAGAGACGGAAAAAGAAAAGCTATTGGTGAGGGTCCAAAATAGGTTTCTCATTTTCTTAGAACAAGGTAAGTGCACCATACTATGTGTAACACACTAAACAAATTCCAGAAAGATTACTAGGAATGCTACCTTTATCCTGATTACAGCAAAAGCAACACTTAAGAAAGTCTAATTACTGGGTCAAACATTCAATAGTAATTTCAAAGAGTTTATATTATTTTTATCATAAATTGCTTGTTCAAACATGTCTTTAATTTGTGGTACGTAACCTGTCTTATAAGCAGCAGAAATAAACAAAATCATCACCTTCTTGCTTAGCTTAAAATTTGTATCAAGCTCTTGCTGTTTCCCTAGCTCTCCTCCTGCTGGGACAGGTTTAGCATCCATTCAGCAGAAACAGACTTCTCTTTTACATTGGGAAGGCTCTGACACTCTTCGCAATTTTAGAATACTATGGTCAGGGAAGAGAATTTAGTATTTAGACAAAGAGGAAAAGTGTTCCCATGCCCTAATTTTTAGTAAGGCAACCATCTATGGATCGTACCTTTAGAACATGCTTAGCTACACTATTCTGCATTGAAAGTACTATTAAATTACTTTTAATCAATTAAAATTAAAAATTGTTTCTTCTGTACAGCTGTGATTCCGGAAGAGCAGTACAATCAAAAAGAGTATCAAAGCATTCCGAGTACTGTACAGGTCAGACAGAAGAGTTAAGACTGACCGCACAACTTGTATGCCTAAATTTTCCTGAATCATATTTTAGAAAAACAGGAATAACAAATTCAGAAGAATTCTAGAAGTCCGAAAATATGAAAATTTTCTTTTAAAGACCATCAGCCTGCTCGCTGACTATGAAGTCCTCAAGTGTCAGTAACACAGCACTAAAAAAAACACAAACCACCTTACGAAAGGAAGTAAACATGTTATAAGCTTTCTAAGGTCTGTAAAAAGAAGGTCCCATTTCTGAGACTTCAAAATTAAACCAAACTTTGACATAACCAAGAAACTGCATTCCTAATTTCCACGGAAACTGGATTACTGAGATTCACTTTTAATTTCAATGCAACAGCCCAACACTGGACAAAAACGCCTAATAAGTGAGAACGGGAAATAAGATATCCTCCTTACTACTGGTGGTAGGAGCAACAGCTGCCATAGGGGAAACAGGCCAAATTAATAAAGAGAATGATGCAAGGTAGGGGCTAAAGAGGAAGACAGAAGAATTACTTATGGCCTGGGGAACATTTTTAATTTCTTTCCCACTTAAGGCCGTTTCATTTACTTCCTGTATGTTCTCAAAATTAAGTTGGAAATGGAAGAAAAAGATTTTGTCTTGCTCTTCGAAATATGAAAGTTTAGCAAAAATGCTAGTTGGATACCTGCTAACTGCTTCAAAAGGGATGAAGCTATAGAGAACGTTCAGCGGCAATTTGAAAAACAACATGGATTATGAATGAAAATACCCCGATTTGTCCTGAGCCCCATTATAAAAGTAAACAACATCATAAATGTGACACTGTTGTTATTATAACAAACCCATGGAAGCACATACAATTCCTTTTGTACTTATGAATAGCTTATTTTTAAAACGTTGTAACTGCTTTAAAGTGCAGATAATACTGTTTTTCACAGCCTTAGCTATAGCAACTTAATTAAATTTGCATCTGAGATTTTCAGTAGAGTTATTTGTAACTACTAATTACTATGCTATATATTTTCATTAATGCTTTAAAAACTATTTCAGTAAATAAAGCTTCTAAAGAATAAATTACAAACATGAACTGAGTAGCAGGTTAACCACCAACTTGCAACATGCATTTAAATTCAGAGGTCACTAAATTGCAATTGTCTACTTAAAAAAAACCCACTATTTTACTCAAGGTCAGCGAGAAGTGTTTAGCATAGGATGTTAATTAAAAAGAAAATTGTTAATACTCACCAGGAGAAACTGGAATCCTACTAGAAGTACATTCTTGACTTATATTACTGAACTTTGCAGGCAAGTCTTTCTGAAATACAGGTTTACTACATTTTAGCCATAAACCCTGTTTAAATCATCTTTTGACCAAACAAAAGTCTATTTAAATACTCATTATGTATGCATTTGCTACACCAGTTAGATATGTTGGCACTGCACAAATGTCTTTACAGGACTAAAACCCACAAGATTTCCATACATACACTGCATTAAAAAACTAGTCTATTCCATAGAGGCTTTTTTTAATATCAATATTGCTGTTTGTAAACAGGTCAAAACCAGGTCCAAATATACTGCATATAACTTTGCCATGAGTAGAACTAACAATAGACTGTTCTCGGCCTGTGCTAACAATTATATCTTAACATTGGCCACCGTTCCCTTAACAGAATAAGCGTACCTTCTACTTCTGGTTGATACTCAGAAATGCAACTCCTCAGTCCTACAAAATTAGCCTATAGATGAACTGAAATTCATTCCACTTAAAAGCTTAGAACACAAAAGTCTATTTTAAGCTAGTTGCCCAGGCTCCTGAATGAGAGCACGCTATTTTAAGAAAGGTTCTCAGTTTAATTCAATCTAGCTTAGAAAAGGTTGTTCATAGACAAGGAAACAAAGTCAACGTTGTACTAACAACAAAAGTTTGAGTGCAATTTTCCAATTTCAAGATAAAAAAAAATCCAACACTCGAACAGCGTCTAGACTTTTTTCACCAACGATTTATCCTTATGATTTGAAATCTCAGCCTTCAGTGAAGTATGTCAGTTTATAAACTGATACAGTTATTCCGGTAAACAGGAGAGTATTATACCCAAATAAGTGAATGAGGGAGAAATAGTAGGTATTGCATGGGAAGAAGCTGGAAAAACTGTAATAATGGATACTTCTTAAAAAAAAAAAAAAAAATGATATCTGCACTGACTACTTCTGCTACCAAATTAATTTCAGTGAAAGGAACTGAGCCTTCAGACATTCCCAGACCTAGATGCACAGCTGCTGCTCCTTTGGCAGCACTGCAAGACAGATCTTGGAGTGTTCCTGCTATGCTGGCTACAGGCCAAGAGTTCACTGAGAAATGCAAGAGTAAGAAGAAAGGGGTAATTCTGAATTGCTTCTATATCTGTGAAACACAACTTGGATGGAATTTCATGAAACAAAGAAGCAGCAATTCTCTGGCCCAAAGGATTATTTCTTGGCAGTTTTCAAATGCCTATTGCAAAAAAGTTAGGGTTTTAAAGACTTTTTTTTAATTTAATATAAAAACCAGCTTATTTTGCTTTGAAAAATGACAAGCAACAATGCCACACACAAACTATATTCAAACTTGTTTCTGCAGATGACTTCTTTCAGTAAGATGCAATACAGAAATACAATTATTTTACTGGAAATTTTGGAGTGATATTAATGTTAAGTATTTTCCAAATACTATTCCAAACCTTTGAAAAGCTGCAATAAACATGTTACTGAAGTAATAAGCCAAATTTACAGAAATAAAAGAACAAGCCTAGTCTGAAACACAAGCTTTCCCATGCTGCTACTGTCATAGATGCAATCACTATCTCTTGAATAAAATACGCTTTAAACAGGAGCAAAGCTGTCTACGGCCGTTCACTGAAGGCCTCTGGAAGCTGTTAGCAGCAAACTTTATTATTGGTGGTATTATTTGGACATATGTCCACTGATAATTAAATTACAATATCCATAAGACACTGATTTCAAATGGTAAATCACCTGAGCCATTACTGACCTGAAACTGTGTTTAAAAAAAAGTGATTGAGAATGTCAAATCTGTATCATTTGAGCTACAGCCTTTAGAAATAACCCAGTAATCAGTATGAACACTTCTCTGTTTCAAGACTTTGCCTAAGTAGCATGCTTTCAAGGCACACAGAAAAAAAAAAACACGTCTTCTATAGAACCATTAGCAACATTTTCAAATTTGCTGGGCCAGCAACACTCACACATCTCCTGGCTACGAGTAAATTCAACATTTTTACAACTACAGAGAAAAATGCAACACTGATCAGCTATTTTCCACATGGGTTTTCAACTTCTGGAAAGCATCTGACAGTATCCGAAGGATACACATGAGATACATATGCAAATACACTTTGAAATTAAGCATGTGATCACAAAATTGATGCTATGGTTCACTGCATCTCAAAATACTTACATGTGTACATATATGAAATTATATAATGTGCACACAAGGACCTTTCAACAGCATGAAAAGGTCTTAACGCACTGGATTTGCTCTGACAGATACGCCAAATGTAGCCATATCACAACCGTAGC